CCGCCCCCAATGGTCCTGGCCACCGGCGGCGGCCTTGTAGCTCCACTGCCGAGCCCCACGAAGGGCCCGGCGGTGGACCTGCAAGGCCAGCAGGAGTGCGAGGAAGCCCCGCAAAGGCCCTCCCTGGCCCCAGGCAGGCAGTGGTGGGGAGAGGCAGGGAGGAAGCAACTTACCCTCCCTCTTCTCCTGCCTCCTCCTGGCTGAATGAGGGCCAGAAGCAGGGTGGCCGGAGGCAGGGGGCGGGGCTTTGTCATGTACCCCGCCCCCCGTACCTCACCCAGGGGAACTGCAATCCCCCGCGATCCCCCCCGAAATGACCTCTGAGCCAAAATATCATACTGTAACAGGGTGGGGCAGCCAGAACGCATCAGCAAAGAAGAAAACACATTACTAGGGCAGCTCAGTCAGTAAAGGAAAAGGAAAACAGAGGGAAAAACTGGCCTCTAAGGGAGTGAAGTGGACGGGGCCATCATAGTGACCTTATCTATTAATGTCTTCCAAAACGTCCCTTTGTTAACAGCTTTGCTCAAGTCTTGCAAACTGAGGGCCATGGCTTCCTTTATTGAGTCAATCCATCTCCTGTTGGGTCTTTCTCTTTTCCTGCTGTCTTCAACTTTTCTGAGCATTTTTGTCCTTTCCAGGGAGTCTTACCTTCTCATAATGTGACCAAAGTACGACAGCCTCAGTTTAGTCATTTTAGCTTCTAGGGAGAGTTCAGGCTTGATTTGATTTAGAACCCACTTTTTGGCAGTCCACGGTATCGGTAAAACTCTCCTCCAACACCACATTTCAAATGAATCTACTTTCCTCCAGTCAGTTTTCTTCAGTGTCCAACTTTCACACTCATACATAGTAATGAGGAATACGATGGTATGAATTAACTTGACCTTGGTTGCCAGCGACACATCCTTACACTTAAGGATTATTTTCTAGTTCCTTCATGGTTGCCCTTCCCTGTTTCCATCTCCTTCTGATTTCTTGGCTGCTGTCTCCCTTTTGGTTTTGTACTGGCAACTTAACTCCCGCAGGACCAATTCAGATGGGGTGCATGGGGAGAGGGGGGCTTCAACCTCCCACATCCTGTTTTCTTGAACTAAAATGGCCATGGGGAGCCATTCTTTCCCCCTTGGGGAAACATATGTCTAATCCATCAGTACATATAGTTTCCTCAGTGGGTCAAATACCACTCCCCTTGCACTATGTCAGACTGGAAAAATGCTGCCTGGGGGGTGGCAGTAGTCCCAGTCCAAATCAGCTCACATGTGCTTGGGACTGAAGTTCCTATCATGGAACTCACAATGCACATCTCATCCTATGAACCCAAGAAAGGTGTGAGGAAAACATAAATGTGTGGTTAGGTAAAATGTCGTGGGGAGGGGGAGGCAGCTACTTGTAGGGATAAATGTGGAAATGTCAACACAATGACTGCACACCTGTAGTCGCCAACGTAGTGCCCGTGGGCACAGAACACTTTTTCTGGCATCTGCCAAGTGTTTTTAGAAAGCGGGCAGGCTCAGGTGGGGCTTGTGCCCAAGCAGGTCTTCTGATCCTTAAGCAGAGCTGCCTCAAATGGTGAAGCGTTCCTGTGAGAGTTATGCGTGACCTCGCTTCCTAACATTCTATGATTGGCTCCGCTCTCCTCTGGCAGCCATTTTGTTGCTGCGCCCACCTGTGTCAGGATTCCAAATGCACCCACAGGCTTTAAAAGGTTGGGAACCCTGCTGTAGAGTCAGAAGTTGGCAGCGCCCACGTGTCTCCTTATAAGGTACCATTTAGACTTTAATTGCTCATCTACAGTTTTTTCAATCCCACCCCACCTCCAAAGTGTATGTCGTTCTCCCCTCCCCCATTTTACCTTCACACAGCAGTGCTGTGACATAGGCTGAGAAAGAGTGACTGGCCCAAGGTCAGCCAATGAAGTTCATTGCTGTTGGCCTCCCTGGTCCTAGTCTGACACTTTAACCACCACACCACACTGGATCAAAGCTAGTGGGGCTGGGGGAAAGGAGTTGTCTCTTAGGCATATGAGGAAAAGTCGTCCTGCCCTGTAGGTGTGAGTGACTATTGTGCCAGTAAAATCTGGCCATTCTGTCAAGGTTGTTTCTGTTGGACCAAAGTGAGGCACCAGCCTCTTTCCTTCTGGGAGCCATAACCCTTGAAAAGAGGTTTACCTCAGAAAAAAAAGGGGGGGGGGAAGCAGGCATAATGGCACTCCAGTGCAAATGGGTTTTGTTTTGTTGGCTCCTCTCTCCTGAAAATGTCCCTCCCAAAGGCCCTCCTCAGTCAACCTTCCTTGAAGGTTCTGCATTAAGGAGAAATTTCTCTCACAGAGTTTCCGGTACATTAACTCCTGACAGGACCGAGCTTGTCATTCTTTCAACCTCTCGGGATTCTTTTTACTCTCCCCCACTTGGTCTCTCCCTCTCCCTCTCTCCCCGATTCTCTCTCTGTTCCTAATAATTTCTTTCTTTTTATCTTTTTTGTTATCCTAATGAGCTCTGCTCCAACCATTCCCCCCTGACAACTCCACTGACAGCCCAGGAACCATCTTTCCTGTGGAGATGTAGACACAGGAACACAGAACACAAGATAAGGTGAAAATTTCTCCTGCTATCTAATTTGCTTGAATATATCGTCTTGTCTGTCCCTCAAGAGAACAGGAAAAGGAGAACACCCACATGTTTCCAATGGTGGGAAGGGATGTGGTACTTTGGTGGGATGGAATAATACGTAATTCTTCGATTTACACAGGGAGAATGTGTCAGCAAAAGAGTGTTGACAAGCAGCTTTTGTGAGAGAAGAATCTCAGGGCTAAGAATCTGGGGCTGTGGGCAACTGGAGATACAGATAGAGGGAGAGGCCTGAAAGGGCCAAAAGTGTAGGGGGATTTTAGCAGGCAATGGACAGAGTCACAGACTGAAGGAAAAAGGAGGGCAAAGGAAGGAGTAATATGAAAGGAGGGCCAGAAAAAGGGGAAGTTATATAGACTCTAGGGACTGGAGGAGCTGTGGTCTTGGCAGTATGGGGCAGACTGAGAGCTTTAGAACCTGAGGGGAAATGGGTTGGGAGGTGAGGTGAACAAGCAGGCCAAACAGGTAGCGCACTAATCTGCATATGTTGAGTTCCTTATATTGACAGGAATTAACCAGACAGAATCTCTGAATGCCTTTAATGAGAACAGCCATGAGGACTACAAACCTGCTTTTTCTAAATCTAAAACACACGAGTCTCACATTCTGGGCCTTATCAAAGGGTTAACTGAGAACACCGCCTTACTGGAAGGGAATACACCCCCATCTTACCTTGTTTCCGTATCCTTGGCAGGCACAGGTGAGCTGAACCCAGAAAGCGGGCGTTCCCCAGGTCCGGGGAAGAGCTCTGAAGGCCCTGAAGAGCTTGGGTTCCGGGGCTTGTTGACGGGGCTTTCCATGAATACTGAGGAGCAAGAGTCTTTGCGGAAGGACTGGCGGACCGGTGAGGACCGGCTGGGAGGCCCTGAGTAAGGGCTGTGTGGACTTTGGCTCTGCTGGACATCCACCAGCCGTCCATCGGCAATTTTCTGGGGGGATGACGGAGGCAAGCGGAAGCCCATCCCTGGACCGTAGGTATCACTATAGATCTGCGCATTGGGCTTATATAAGCTATCTTCCAGTTCCGTTTGCAGGGCAGCAGCCGAATAGGTGCTGAGAGAACGGACCGAACCCCGCTTGTAGAGCCCGCCAGGGTAGGCAAATGGGTCTCCTATCCCCGCTAATGACTGAGTGGATGTAATGCTCAAGCGTCCCTCATGCACCATGCCATAGGGGTCAGCGTACAGGCCCTCATTTTTCACCAGTACCATGTTCTTCCCAGCCAGATCCTCATCTGGTTTGACATCCCGCCGTTCCAGGATAGCACTCGGGCTGGGTGATACACCCTGGGCCGGAGGCAGGTTGGAGAGGCGTTCTGCATGGTGCACAGGGCTGCCAGCGTAGGAAGGTGGGCGCCCACCGCTGTAAGACATGCGGGACCGGGATGGGGAGGATGACTGGAGCACCGGCGGAGGAGAGCCAGAGGTGAGGTGAGCAGCAGGGGACATGCTGTTTAGGCGTCGGGTGGGGGAGGACTCCCTGGAAGAGTAGACCATTTCTCTCTGGAAAGGCGAGAGGGGAGAGAAGATAAGGGTGTTAGAACCGTGCCCTTACAGATGTGACAGTGGTAAAACGAAGCCAAACGACAACCCATTCCGCCTACCTGGTTCACACAACCAGAAGATGAAGAATTTGTACTGTACCTGGACCACACCAGTTCAGATTACAAGTGGGAGAAGGCTGTGCTTCAGCTACTCCAGACAACACTATTTGTCCATTAGGAGCTGATCGCATATGCTGAGGAGAGTACATGTATGTTTCCCCTATGAGGCAAACAGCACCTTATTTCAGGTTCAGGGCCATTGCAGGTTAGGAAAACAGTGTGTGTTGGGGCGGGTGGGGGGGATCGTCATGGCCTTCTCCCCATGTGCTTCCATTATGATCCAAATCAGTCCCCCACACACTTGAGAACTTGAGATCCCCCTGATGTGCATTTTACTTAACCCAGGGGGCAAGCAGGTATTGGAAATCTATCTCCATCTATCTCCATCTTGGATTGTACTGTTTTACTGTGGTTGTTGAATTCCAATGCTGTTTTAAGTCTAGTATTATTGTATTTGTTTTGATGTAAGCAGCCCTGAGCCCTGCTCCCAGGGAAGGGCGGCCTAATAAGTCTAAATAAATAAATAAATTTCCAATGTCTTCCAAATGAAAGACCTCATGGAGGACACATGGAAAAACATGTAGCCTTCAGTGATGGCATGGAACCATTGTAGAAATATACAAGATATAAAGAGCTGCCTGTGAAGAGTCAGAGGCAAAATCCACATGGGCACCATGCCTGATGATTCCTCCGTGGTTCCCAAAACAACTGCTAATCTTGTGATTCCCCTCTCAAGAACACAGCACTATCCTCCTTCCACCTGTGCCCTAGGGTTGCCAGCACTGCCTTGGCAAATTTTGGGAGCTGTTGAGGATGCTGCCTAAGGAAGGTGAAGTTTAGAGAGGATGGGATGTCACTTCTGGGTGACCCTAGGAAATCCCCCTAATCTCCATGCTTAAAAACCATAGAGACATGGGGAAATTCCTAGAGCATTGCTATGGAAGCCATTTTCTGGCCATATTTTCTCCCATTCCTCAATTTTTGTGAGGGAAGAGGATTGGGGACAAAGACATGAGTTTACCCACCACAGATTGGCAAACCGCACGCCTGCATTTTCCTACCCTTTCTCTTTCTTTCTTTCTTTGTCTTTCTCCTCCTACCAACACCAGTATATTTCTGATTAATGCCCTGATTGTGTCATGTTTATGTCTTTGCTGCCAAGGCTTTGGCCTTCCATTTTCCTAGAGCAACAATTGCTGGTGGTGACCGATGGCAAGCACTGTAATTCTTTCCAGAGAAACACACACAATTACTGTCTTTCTCACTGTTTTCTGCTGAATGACTTTTCCTGCCTCTTACACATCCGTTTTTGTTCCCCTTGTCCCTGCAGATGTTCCACCTCAGGACCTACAACAATGTGCTCGCTTTTGCACGTGTATGCCTGGTTGAGAGGGAGAAGGTATAACTGCTCGCTGAAAAGTACAATAGGTTCTAACAGCACTATAATTAACTTGCACATTCCTGTTAATGGGCTTTATTCCTCAGCAATCCACCCCCTCCACCATATTGACGTCCCATGAAAAGAACAGCCCAACAGCCCGAATGCCATCTGCCAATCCTCACCCGCAGGTCACCATTGGTGATGTGGGATCCAGGGAAGGAGGCATAGAGGGGCTCTTTCCGGTAGATTTTGATAATGCTTCTGTCCTGGATATCCCTGTAAGAACAAAGCCAAAAAGAATGGAGGAGATAAATCCACGGAAAGTTGTTTATTTGAAGAGCCAGATTAAGCAAGGCCGTGACGGCAACGAGAGTGGCCACAGCTGTACGGAAGCAGACCACTGACGTCATCAGCCCACACCAGCTGTTAGGTGCCTTTGCACAGCTGCTGATCAAGCCTCCACCTCCTCCTGGCACTGTGGATTTGCAGGTTTTACATTGTTTTCTGTTGGTTGGGTCTGTGTCAGTCTGTTCAAATTCTTCCTTTGGGATTTGTGTGCAGCTTTCGCATCAAGATGCAGCAATCCTGCTCAGGGTGGCGTACAGGGTGAGCTGGATTTCAGCACCTGCAAGTAAGACTGAGACAGGCACAAAAGGAATGCTGCAAGACTGCTTACAGGGATTTTCCAAGGGGCAAAGACTGCCCTTTGACCTACTGAAATGACTCAAGAGGGTCCATGCTAGAGAGCAGCAGTAGCTGGCCTCCAGCACATGTGCGGAATAGATGCATGCTGGACCATTTTGCTTAGGACGCAGGACTTGAGGGACTGAGGGCCAATTCACACAACACAGAGAATGCCCATTGTCTGAAACAACATACTCACAGCAGCCGCACTGACTTTGCATTGTTTCAATCAGCCTCAAGGAGATAGGCTCTGGAAGCACTCGGTTTGTTCCCAGCTTATCAAGCCAAATATATGAAGTATTATTCAGTCAACAGAGTGCTCAAGGCACATTAATGCAGCAGAATCCATCTGGTTGGTGTGTGCTGGCAAGAAACAAAGTTACACATGGGGCCTTTTTATCTTTGCAAAACTAATAAAGGCTCCGGTCACACAGGCTGGATATCGTGGGGGGAGGTGTGGCTAATTGCCCCAGAGGAAACTAACGCGCGGCTGCCCGAGCACACGTCCCGGTCGAGGTCCCGTGGTTAGGGAGGAGATGCCGACCAGACGGGTATCCTGCAGCGCGGCACAGAAGCCGCGCTGCGCGATCGCACTAGCAATAGCTCTTTGTGCGCATGCGTTGTTGGGCGCTGTTGCACAACCTGCGGAGACTTGGAAGACAAAAAAACCCCTTGTGTGTGACGAACAGTGGCAGACACCGGATGCCACGTAAGTCCCCCAGAAATGCGATCAGACCCTCGCCCTTGCCCCGCGGTTTCCAAAAACTAGTACCTCGGAGGTACTAGTTTTTTACTCCGCATCTTCGGCGGGAAGCCTCGGGTTAGCCACGGGAGCTCTACACTTCTCAGATATTGCGGTGTAATCGCACCCGGAAAATCCGCCTACCATCCGTATCATCAGCGTGGCAAATGATCCGTGTGACCGCAGCCAAAGAGTCCTTTATTGTTAGGAATTCCATTCTAGACAGGATAGAGTAGAGATAGGTTTTTAATCGAGTCTAACTAGCTAGGATGGATAGAGATGCAGGAAGAAGTAGAAGGAGGAGGAAGAGGAGGAGGAGATTGGATTTATACCCCACCCTTCACTCGGCATGTCAGAGCGGTTTACAAACTCCTTTCCCTTCCCCTTCCCACAACAAACACCCTGTGAAGTAGGTGGGGCTGAGAGAGCTCTGACAGAAGCTGCTCTTTTTCAAGAACACCTCTGACAGAACTATGGCTTGCCCAAGGTCATCCAACAGCTGCGAGTGGAGGAGGGAGGAATCAAACCTGGTTCTCCCAGATTAAAGTCTGTGCACTTATCCACTACATCAAACTGGCTCTCATGGAATTAGACTGTCCTGCCCTCATAGTGGCAAGATGGAGAAGGCTAGGATAGTATGGAGAGAAGGTGTCAAGACCAGAAGGAAGTTTCCCGAAGAAGAAGAGATTGGATTTATACCCCGCCCTTCACTTGGAGTCTCAGAGCGGCTTACAAACTCCTTTCCCTTCCCCTCCACACAACAGACACCCTGTGAGGTAGGTGTGGCTGAGAGAACTCTGACACAAACTGCTCTTTCAGGAACAGCTGTGCCAGAGCTTGTGACTGACCCAAGGTCACATCAGCAGGTGCAAGTGGAGGAGTGGGGAATCAAACCCGGTTCTCCCAGATTAGAGTTCGCACACTTAACCACTACACCAAACTGGCTCTCTAAGAGTAGCAATCTACTCATCGAAGGGATAAAATCAGAGCAGTAGAAAAGGAAGGATGATCAGGGTCCTGCCTATCTGTCTCTCTGACTCTCTGTAGTCTCTCCCTGAAGTCTGAGGCTAAGAGACAGGGCAAAGTCTTTCACCCCCAACAATATAAACATTGTCTTTTTTCCTTCCCTCCTAATTTTTGTTTGTTGGTACACCAACATGTTCACAGGTAGAGATTGCAGGAGGTTTTTTTTAATGAACGGGCCCAAATGGTTGCCCACCCCTGTGCTAGAAGTTTATTGTTGCTGTTGTTCAGTCGCACAGTCAAGTCCAACTCTTCGCGACCCCATGGACCAGATCACGCCAGGCCTTCCTGTCTTCCACCGTCCTCTGAAGTTTGCTCAATTTCATGTTCGTTGCATCTATGACACTTTTTATAGACGTTTATAGAGAGTATGATATAGTGGGAATGACTGGGTGGGGGGCACTGACAGAGAGATTTTTTGTTGGAGGTATATAAAATTATGAATGGTGTGGACAGCAATAGTGATTTTGGTGCCTCACCTCCCTTTCCCTGCCTAGCTGTGCTGTAATGTTACAGCACCACACGACTGGGAAAGGAATAAAACCCTTTAAAGGACTGGAAAGCCAGGGAGGGGGAAATACAGTGTGGTGCTGCGATTCCACTGCTTCAACTGAGGAATTAGTATCCTTCATAGTTCCAGAGGATCCCAGAGCTTTGACTCTCAAAGTTTATTCTTGAAACTCTTGTTGGTCTTGGGAATGCTACTTATTGTGGACCAGCCAAGCCCAGCAGAGCAAAGAGACGCTGAAGACTCCTCTGAGGAAGAGGCAGCCAACGGACCTGACCCCAACCCACAGTCAGTTGCAGGAGGAGGCAGTCTCTGAGGGGCCAGACACAGATCCTCAGCCAGGAGCCAGTGCACTGGCCCCTCAGCTCTGAGCTGGCAACTGAGAGTCAGCTGCCGGTCAGTTCACTCTCCCCCTCCCCCACATCACCAGAGCCTCGGGAACACTGTAGGAGAAAGATGAGAAGAGACCTTTAAGACAGAAGGCGCAGTGCCCACCTGGCAGTACAACACCGACCCAGCACCAACAGTGAGGGTGAGTACTTACAGGGGCAGGACTGAGGCAGCCGGCCTGGCATGATGCAGTACAGGCTGCTGAGCAGCAGGGCTGTAGCTAGGATTTTTGACATCAGGGGGCATTTAAATAAGTCGTAGGCACCCCCCACCCCCCAGGCTGTGTCAGGAGAGATAAGAGAGTAAAAGCAAGGAAGCAAAGGCACCAGCAGGCAGGGCGGGATGACGGCTTGGCTTGGCGCAGCTGTGGCGCATGCGAAAAATAAAATAAAATATACCAGCTGGATGGAAAATCAGGAGACCTGGGTGGTAATTCAGGGGGCTGAGTCCTGAGACGTGGTGCTTAAAAGCAGCAGAGGAGGGAGAGGCTATGTCGAAGCAACTTGTCCGTTAGCCACCGGCCTTGCTGCCTCTGCTCTGGATTGTCCTCTTCGTCTCCGTCCCTGGCCTGTACCTTTGTATCCTTGTTCTGGGATTGCCCTTTGGATTTGAAGCTGTGAGTGTTGTCTACCCTCTGCCTGAACCTTAGAACTGCGTTTTGACACCTGGCCCTGGATTTTCATTACAAACGCTGATGCCTAGAAACAGCATCTGTGTGCCTGCTAGGAGGACGCTGGCCACCAGGACACTACTGGACTCAAATCTAACTAAGCATCCTTCGTGAGAGCCTCACCTGACATCCTCCAGCTCATAAAAAACATTGCGGGATTCGTCCTTGATCAGGATGGCAGTGTTGGGTGACTTCAGCATCCCCATCGTTAGCTTCTGAGGAAACATGTGGACGATGAGGGCGTGCAGCGTATCCATGCTAGTGATTTCGTGGGTGATGTGAACCCTTCTCGTCTCATCCCCGAACTGCAGGAAGAGGATGCCTGTAGATATGGAAGTCACAGGAGGAAGGAGGGGAAATGGTCAAGTAATGCAGAACTCAGATTGAATCAGCTAACAGTACTGGAATGGCAAGCTTTTGAATGACACAAATCTCTTCTTTAGGTGTGGGAGGGTTAAAAGAAATAGAATAATAAAGAGTCAGATGGACAAACAGGCCCTTCTGATCTATTTCTTTACGTGAGAAATTCAAGCTGCCTTCCTTTCCAGCATAAACACTTCTTCAAGGTAGTTTACAACAGTACTAAATTAAAAATTTATAACTACTAACACAACAATAATAATGCAGTCAATCTACAGTGCATATTTGGATTACAGTAACAGAAAAAATGATAAAAGTTACTTCTTATTTTAAGCCTGAGCCATAGGGTTGCCATCCTCCAGGTGGAGACTGGAGATCTCCTGGAATTACAACTGATCCCGAGACTACTTAGTTGTCCTGGAGAAAATGGCAGCTTTGGAAGGTGGACTGTATGGTATTATCCCCTATAGGGGTCCTTCCTTTCCCTAAAGCCCACCCTCCCAGGCTCCACCTTCAAATCTCCAGGTATTTGTGAACCTGGATATGGCAACTCTACTGAGTTAAAAGCATGAAAATACAATGCAATCCAAGGCAGAGTTACATTCTAAGTAAATACTTGTTATAAATGTTGTACTGTTTAAAGTAATGTTTAAAATAAAAATACTTATATATATATTAAAAAGGTACAAATCTGTTTAGGACTGATTTGTTAGCCTGGTGTTTAAATTATGATGGTTCCAGAAGAATCTCCCTGTGAAAAAGTTCCAAATCCAGGAGGCCACCACAGAAAAGGCCCTCTCTTAAGTAATCATCCACTTTATTTCTGAAAGCAGAGGGACATGGCGTAAAGCCTTGGAAGATTATTTTAATTCTCTGGCAGGTTCATGCAAGTAAGGTGGGCCCAGAGATCTCCCAGAATCACAACTGGTCTGGAGATACAGATCTCGACTATAGAGACCAGTTCCTCTGGAGATAACAGCTGCTTTGGAGGGTGGACTCTCTGGCATTGTACCCCATTGGGGTCCTTCCCTCCCGAAACTCTGCCCTCCACCCACAAACCTTCAGGAATTCCCCAACCTAGAATTGGCAACCCTACAGGATAAAAAGGCCGATTAGACACCCTGGCCCATTTAGGGCTTCGTGGGTCCAAAACCATCCTACTGAATTGTACCTAGAAATGAACTGGCAGCCATTGACAATTTTTTTTAATTATTGAAGTGATTTAATCACTACAACATATTCTAGTCAACAAGATGGCTACTTTATTCTGAACCAGAAGAAAGCTGAGAAGACTTTTCAAGGGTAGCCCCTATACAATGCCCTACTGTGACCTTCTACTTGCAAAACATATGCTCTGCTTGAGGTATAGCTTCACCCTTAAAAGGCACCCGAGCCTTCATTTTCTCTGAGGCTCTAACTCAGATTCCGAGATTGATGTAGTACCTTCTGAGCTAAAAAAAGACCTCATGCCAAATAGATTACTGGAAATGGATCTGGCCTAAAATAGTCTCTAACAGCCACCAGATCTGAGGAAGAATTTCTATGAAACTCATACTGACGGTACCCAAGTCCCAATAAACGGGGACATATCTGTAATCCAGTATTACTGGCTGTCAGTATTTAGGGATGGATTTTTTACATATTTATCCGCGATGTCCTTTACAGAACAATTCTGGAAAGAAGTCTGAGTTGCGATCGGACGTTTTATTGAGTATAATTTGCTTCTACAGTAATTTTTGTTGGATACTGTTGTTGGATTTTTTGTTGGATACTTAAGAATAATGTTTAGGAAGATGACTTAGAATTTGTTTTGAGTTTGATAACTACTGCTCAGATTCGTATGACCTCATACTGAAGGGGGGAAAACAATCTTCCTTTAACAGAATGGTAGAAAAGAACTTGGGACTTTGCATTAATGTCTAAGGTAATATATTCTGGAAAGCAGAAACCCAGTTCACGATTTATTGAGAAACAACAGGCATTATTTGTAACACAGAGAAATAACAGATTTCAGGATAATGTTCTACCCGATGTTCTTTTTGCAGTGTTGTAGATGTTCCTTTTAATAATAAAAATAATAAAGCTGTCATTCCCACACAAGGGGAACCACCACAGATGCTTATGTTAAAACAGCTTCTACACGTATCCCCCAAGCACTGCAACGTCATATGTCTAGAGCAGCGGCACCCAACATGGCACCTGTAAATGCCAGGGTGCCAGCCAGCACCTTTTCTGGTACCCGCCAAGTGTTTTTAGGAAGTGGGCGGGTAGGGTAGCCAGGTCCTCTCCTCTCGCAGGTGGGGTGTGGGAGGGAGCTCTCCGGGAGTGGGGGGGGGCAACGTCACCACACGCAATATCTCCAGCGTGATGAGGTCACACGGAAGTGATGTCATCACACCGGGGACACTGCATGGTGATGCTCTGGTATTTTGGGCAAAACTCCATGGTTACCATAGAGTTTTGCCCAAAATACCAGAGTGCCACCATGGTGTGATGATGTCACTCCTGCTTGACGTCATCATGCTGCCAACGTTGTGATGGGTGGTAGCTGTTGGGGTGGGACTTCCCCCACTGGCCAACTGGCCAGCAGCAGGCAGGAGCCCACCAAATTGGGGGATTCCCCGCTCCCACCTGGGGGCAGTGTTCCCTCTAAGCTGAGTTAGTGTGAGCTAGCTCACAGTTTTTTAGCCTCCGGCTCACACATTTTTTTCTTAGCTCAGGAAGGATGGCTCCAGAGCAAACTAATTTATGCAGGAGCCAAATCGCCCGCTCACAACTTTAATGCCAGTAGCTCACAAAGTAGAATTTTTGCTCACAAGACTCCATAGCTTAGAGGGAGCATTGCCTGGGGGATGGCAATTCTAGGGTGGGGCCAGGTGGGGTATTGCCCAACAAGGCTTTTTAATGGCTACTGAAGATTTGATTGGCTGTGCAGTCACGGTGTGACTGAAGTGAAGCTATGGCAATCATTTTGTGGCTGGCTTTGCCTCCTGCAGCAGCCGTTTTGTGGCAGCCATTTTTTGGCTGTTCCCACCACACTGTGCCAGAATTCCAAAGGTGCCTATGGGCTCAAAAAGGTTAGAGACCTCTGGTCTAGAGATTTTGAAAGAACTGAGCCTTCCAGAAACAAGGGCCTGGCTCCAGACTCTGAAGTTCTGGCTGCACATTCTCTTTCTATCAGAACACCCTAGTTATGTGCATTCTATGCTGGCCGACTCTTTTTCAAGTAATTGATCACACCTAATTTTATGGAAAATCAGGTAGATTGGTGTCCCACTCGATTCTGTTTGCATGCTTGGGAAACAACAAGCCTTCGAATAGCTGTGGCAGAGACTAATGGATGTTGATAAACAGACCTTGTACTCACTAGCAAATAGGGCCTGCTCCCCTTTGGCGCGAGGAATATTGCCTGATTATGGGGTCCCAGCTGTCTTTTTTTGCATCTTAGATCCCCACAAGCTCCCAGAACTTTTATGTTTGCAAGATTTGGTATCTTGTTCACCACAGTCCTTTATGGCAGATTTTCATGGTCGCCTTATCACAAGAGACTCTGCTCATGTCGGGCTAGTGTGACCAAAATCCTATCCCATGTTCTGCTCTATTGTCATCTCTGTCTTGAGCAGATAAATTCTTTTTTTGTTGTTCAGTCACACAGTCGAGTCCGACTCTTCGCGACCCCATGGACAAGCTCCCGCCAGGCCTTTCTGTTGAGAAATTCTTTAATCGTATGCAAATTCACAGGTCACACTGAAAAGTGGCTGGTTTCTATCTGATAGTAACCCTCATATGACTATCCAAGTTGCTAGGTTTCTTCTAGCTGCTTTGAGGTTACAGGAATAGTTTGTAAACAACCCTGAATAATATCTCCGTTTACTCCTACTATTTACTGTGTCCTCTCCATTGGTTGTGCGTTTCAGTTATGTCATTCTTGGTCTTTGGTTTTTTTTCTCTGCCTCATTTTACCTTTACATGTTTGTAATTAATGCCTAATAAAGGTTTTTTGAATTCGAATTTGAGATTTTTTTAAAAATAATTGTGTCAGAGGGTTCCGCTTTCGCAAAAGAAAAAAAAAAGATTTGTCTGAAATCTTTGATGTAGTTCTCAGACATTCAAGAAGCCGTTCTCAGGAACGTGGGGAAGAGGCTGTTACCTGGTGACCGGAGTTTTGTTTGGCTGGTGGAACGGGAGAGAGGCAGGCTTTGCCGGAAGCGGTTCATTCTGTTGAACCCGATGGGCAGCTCAGCTTCAGACATGGTTTCCAAGGACTCGGCTGAAGCAAAGGAGAGTTTGGCTTGATCAGCCAAGCCAGGCTGGGAACCTTGATTGTGCCGGGAACTTCGGGTCTGGAAGGCAGAGAGAGAGAGAGAGATACATGTGGTTATGGAGACATCGGTATATCTTCCATCAATCAACAGTATGAAATGTGGGTGTTGAACATGTAATCTGTTCCCCAACACCTGGGGTATTTTTAGTCATTTTTTTCCTGATTACATACTCATTAAAAGACTTCACAGATCATGAAGCACAGCAACAGAAAAAGAGCCCCAAATATTTTAATGGAAAAACATAAAACACACACAAAAACTAAAACAAAGACATCTACCTTAATTTTTGGAAACAGACAGGAAGATTGGACATACAACTGCAAGCTTAACTAATTTAATTGGTAGGTTAACCAACTAATGGTTATCTGATGGGGTCAACTGTAATTGGTGAGGGCAAACTTCCATTGTTGGGTTTTCAAATTAATGGCACACTTGTTCAGTTTTTTTGGACAGTATTAGTTCTGGTGTGTTCCTCAAACAGGAACTGGACCAAAAATATTGAAGGTATTGAAGATGGCATTTTGCTGAACAATGAAGGATGTTTTCATTAAATTGTCCACTGGTCACATGCTCCCTTTGATATTTCAAAAGTGCATCCTATGCTGAGATTTTGGCACAGTGCAAATGTAAATCAAAGGAATGGTAACCCATTCATTAGAAGGCAGATGAATAACCCGATAAGTTTCTTTCTTCGTTGACCTAGGTGGAATGAACTTCAGCCTCATGGGTACAGCCCACCTTAGTTAACCTAATCAAGTATTGATTCACTCTGCTCTCATAGAAACCCAATGACAAAGATTATATATGAGGAACACACATACACTTCTTGGCAACCTGTTTCAGAACTCCATTATTCTTACAATTAGTCTGGATCCTCAGCCTAGTACACCTCATATCATCTCTTTCCCATTGCCCTAATCCTTGTAATTTCTGCACTGTTCTTTATATGTTTGCAGCCGTCATGCAGTCAAACAGCAAGCGTTTTAATGACTAGGGTTCCGCTGGGAGTGGGAGTTTGCCCGCTCTAGGGGCCCCTGACTGGCTGGCACAGATCCGGCCGCCAGGGGGAACTCCACCCCCAAAGTGCCTGAATCGGGCCGACATGCCCGACGCAATGACATCACCTGGGCACATCGTTGGGGGACGCTCTAGCGTTCAGGCTTAAAACTCTATGGTATGCAGAGCCTTCCCCCCCCCCAACTGGATGCCAGGAAGGGACCTGGCAACCCTATTAATGACTGTTGAAACAATGCTCCAACTTCACACATCAAGACAAAGGCTAGAGCAGTTCCTTGAGAACAGATCTTCCACCAAGGAAATAGAGTAGAATTCTGTCTCCACCTGACCTCCTTCTACAGGACTCAAGCCACCTTGCCTTGAGGTCGGGGCAGTGGCTCAGTGGTAGAGCATCTGCTTGGCATGCAGAAAGTCCCAGGTTCAATCCCTGGCACCTCCCATTGAAAGCACCAGGCAGCAGGTGATGTGAAAGACCTGAGACCCTGGAGAGCCACTGCCAAGTCTGAGTAGACAATCCTGACTTCAATGGACCAAGGCCCTGGTTCAGTGTAAGGCAGCTTCATGTCTTCAAGGCTACCGAGTGCCACCACAGACCCCAATAGAAAAATACCCTCTGCACACCCCACACCACCTAAGACCAATAAGAATTCCTTATGAAAACAAGCTGCATGACTCAGTCAACTGCATGGACCCCCCTCCCCCCAGGAGATCAGGGCCCCTGGCATTTAGTCCTCCTAGTTCCACCCCTTTTGCAGCTCTGCTGGCTCATCAAATAGCAGGTGGGCACAGAGTGCCTAATGAGCCGATCTACTCAGGATTAGGTATCCCGGCAATGCCATTTCAAGCAGGTAGTTCTATTGGTGCAACAGTCCTCTGTGACTCCTGCAAAACATTGTGAAAAACATAGCAGAGGAACAGAGTACCTCTAAGGTCATGGCTATTAAATCAGCAAAAGTCTGCAGTGCAGCTATTTGTCCCAGAGAGGCGCTACCTAGGGAAAAAATAAAGTCTGCACTTTAATTAGGGAAGCCACCAAGGATGGAATGTGAATGGTGCAAGCCACTCTCTGGGAAACATACACCAGGCTTCAGTGTGCACAGAGGTGGATTTGTATTCCCGAAATCGGAGTAAGCATCGGTGGAAGGCTCGACGGTCCCTGGTACCAGCTTCCTCCTTCTCCATCAATAACAACATGAGAGGCAAAACTTGCAGACAAACAGTCACAGCATTGAGATAACCTTTGAAACTACATGAGGGTTGCCTATCCATTATGCCAGCAAAACAGCTCCTGGGAGACATAAAGGGGCCCGTTGTGATTCTGGAAGGGAAGCAGCACCGAGGTTTATGGCTGCAAAAATAATGCACATGGACTCCTGGCAGTAAAAGCAGTAATACGGCAAGAGTCCCATTTCGCACAAATGACTATATATCCTCCCCGTACAATGGGGCTGTTTGAATGGATGATCCTCGTGAGGTAACAGCACCGTTACACGCTAGTAAATAAAAACAGTGCGGCAGGTTGATAAAGATGTTACTTTCTTTGTCTGTGCTGGCCCCGTTTATACCGACCCATGGATGAAAATGGTAAACGTTAGGATTGCCCGGTCTTTTTGTCATGCTGGTGGCTTTGGTGGGGGGGGGGGGGGGGGGGGGGTTGGGGGCCATTCCAGGAGTGGGCGGGGAGTGACATCAGCCGAAGTGGCATCAGTGCATCAGCAACACACTCTGCTTTTTGGAGGAAACTGTATGGTATAAGCGGCCTCAAACCGTAGAGTTTTGCCGAAAAAGCAGAACGTCACCCCCCCTGACTTTGCCGACATGCTGATGTCACTTCCGGGTGACATTCAGCATGTCACGCACGACGTTGGGGTGGGGGGATTTTCCTCCCGCCGGCAGCAGGCAGGAGCTTGCAAAAGTGGAGGACCGCCCAGCCCCACCTGGGAAATAGTATCCCTTGTAAACGTTTCCCCAGAGTGTAGGAGGAGGAGGAAATTGGATTTCTATCCCACCCTTCACTACCCAAAGGAGTCTCAGAGCGACTTACAAACTCCTTTCCCTTCCCCTCCCCACAACAGACACCCTGTGAGGTAGGAGGGGCTGAGAGAAAGTGCTCTTTTTCAAGAAACGCCATCCCCCCGGGTGAGGTGTGGGAGGGCGGGGCCTGGAGCTCCCTGCTGGTGCCCGCTGGAGGTCGCCGCCAGCTGTGGGGAGGACACACTTCCGGTGATGTCAGGGGGTGTGGCATATGCTAATGAGTTATGCTAATGAGTCCCCCTAGCTCTTTTTCTACGAAATGACCCCTGGCGAAATCAAACCCAGTTCTCCCAGATTAGAGTCTGTGCACTTAACCACTACACCAAACTGGCTCTCACTCTTGAATAGTGCTCTTGAATGCAGGCGGATACAGGTGAATAGGGTTACTAACTTCAAGGCAGGCCTGGACTTCTCTCAGCATTAAAACAGGTCTCCAAATGACAGCGATCAGTTCCCTTGGAGGAAATGGCAGCTTTGGAGGGTGGTCTCTGGTATCATTGGGTTACCAGACCCAGGCTGGGAAATACCTGGAGATTTTGGGGGTGGAGCCTGGAGAGGGAGGGGGTTGGGGAGGGGAGGAGAGGGACCTCAGCGGAGTATAATGTCATAGAGTCCACCCTCCAATGCAAACATTTTCTCCAGGGAAACTGACCTTGGTTGTCTGGAGATCAATTGTAATAGCGGGAGATCTCCCGGAAGGTGGCAACCCTTGTCGAACCACCACTGAGTTCCTTCCTCTTCCCAACCTCTGTCCTCACCAGGGACTGCCCCAAATCTCCAGGAAGTTTCCAAGACAGTGATGGTAACTCCACAGGTGCAGGGTTGCATGTAGCACACTGGAAGGACTGGAACTTCTTCAGTGAAGTACACGAATACTGAGACAACTGAACTGCATCCTTAACCTCTCAACTGATAACTTTCCAGTTCTCTGTTCATGTAACCACAAGCCCTCCTAACAAGATGCTGGGGGGAAACTGAACTGTTGCTTCTCTTTTTTTCTTTTTCTTTTTGCATCAAGTTGCAGCCAACTTGTGGCAACCCTGTGAGGTTTTCAAGGCAAGAGACTAACAGAGGTGGTTTGCCATTGCCTGCCTCTGTGTCATGACCCTGGTATTCTTGGCGGTCTCCTATCCAAATACTGACTATGGCTGACATTGCATAGCTTCCAAGATCTGACAAGATTGGGCTAGCTTGGGCTATCCAGGTCAGGGCAGTGGCTTCTGCTTACAGCAGTTTATTCCAGTTTGCATCCAGTCAAATAATTGTACCAGACAAAGTACAGCACAGTTGCAATTTCAACTCGGAGTAGAAAAACTGGATTCACTTCTCCTGGAGGTCAAAGGCACTGCTCAAAAATACATTCCAGGCCGATCTTAAACTCTGCAGGTGTTATGCTCATGAGTACTGGGAGCAAGCAGTCCCCGCGATGTATTTGATATGTGCAGAATTGCTCGATATGTGGATTTTCCATGTCTGTTGCCCAATTCACACAATACAGCAATCCCATGTATCAGGGAATTCAGGGTTGCCAGGTGCCCCCTGGCCACAAGCAGAGGATGAGGGGGTAGGGTTATCAAATCCAGGTTGGGAAAATCCAGAAGATTTGGGCACGGAGCCTAGAACTCAGGGGGGTACAGTGCCATAGAACCCACCCTCCAAAGCATCCATTTTCTCCAGGGGAACTGATCTCTGTAGTCTGGAGATGAACTATAATCCTGGGGGATCCCCAGGTCCTACCTGGAGACTGGCATCCCTAAGGGAACTGCATTCGCCTGATACATGTGGTTGATGGTCTCCCTATTCTGCACGAATGTAATGTCTGCAAAGGGCTATAGGGGTTCGATATCCTGTCGGCCCCCGCATTTGTTTCACACATTATACATATGCTGCTTGGAGCTCAGAGCAGTTTATATGGGGCTCCCATAAAGTCCCCCCCCCCCACTTTCACAATCCAGGCACCAAACAGG